GATAAAAAATAAACATACCTGAAACATGTGCTTTCATCCTTAAGCAACATGAAATAGCGAACTCCACCAACACCAGGCTCAGGCATAGGGCCGCATAAATCCATGTGAAAGTCCTCGCATTTATTTGCTTTGCGCTTTTCTGCAGCTCCATGTGATGACCGATGCATTTTTCCTCGCTTGCAATCTTCACAAAAGAAATCGCTTTTGTCCGTCACATTAATACCATCAGCTAAATGTTTATTACACATGGTTTTTATTGTTGCTGTATTTATGTGTCCAAGTCTGCAATGCCATTGTTGCAGTGTATCAAGTTGTGCTGAGTTTTCTGCATAATCATTTCGCTGTATAAACATCATTCTAAATTGATTTTTAGAGTCACGAGTGCCCGATGCCAACTTATTTTTGTTTTTATCCATCAACACACAAGATTTGGATTCGATTAACATCGAGAAGCCTTTTGTTGTTGCTGACCCAGTAGAAAACAGGTTTTGCCGTAGTTGAGGGACGTATTGTACATTTGTGAGGACACGAGGTATCCACTTGTTGTTTACCAGGGCATATATTTGTATAGTACCGAAACCTCTAATGGGGAGTTTCTCATTATTTGCAATGTAAACATACCGGTCTGAGTTTTACATCTGTAAATCTGCGAACCACTCTTTGCGTGAAGTCATGTGCTCTGTAGCACCTGAGTCAGCGATCCACACGTCACTATATGGAGCTGACATAACATCTGACGTTGACGCAATAAATGCTACCTCATCACCGTTTTTGTCTTTCTGCTTGTTGCCTTCGTCTTTTTGTTTGATTTGTCTTTTCTTTGCACGGCATTCTCTCTCCCAGTGTCCAATTTTATTACAAAAATTGCATTTTGATGTGCGCTTTCGTTCGGCGATTGACTTCTTGAATTTTCCCGACTTTGCATTAAACGCAGCTTCTGTAACTTCTGCATTGCTATTCTTCTTGAATTGATCTTCTTCTAATTGTAGCTTTGCCATCAAATTTTCTATAGTTCTGCCTTCCTTTACGTTGTACCACACGGTTTTGAAGTTTTGGTACCTTGATGGCAAACTGCTTATGATTCGTACCATCTTAATATTGTCGGATAGCTTTTCTCCTTGTGCCTCTATTTCTGCCGCCAAGGATGATACCTTCGACACATATGCTGCAACTGACTCGTCTTCCTGCATTCGTAGCGAGAAATATTCTTCATAAAGGCACATAACCTTGACTTCACTTTGTTTGTCGTGGATATTTCTCAACTTATCGTAGACTTCGTTCGAACTGGTACATGACAGCACATGGTTGGCTTGATCTTTTTCGATAGAAGTAATAAGGATTCCCATGGCCTTACCGTCACGCTTCATCCATAAATCCTTTTGATCTTGGGAGACCGAATCATTGAGTTTCGATGTCCCTTGTACTATTCCTAGTAGTCCATGGCCTTTTAACACCGCATCGACATTGAACTTCCACAATCTGTAGTTGCTGTTGTTTAGCCGGTGGGAAATATGGATGGATTCCTCAGTCATTTTATTTAATTAATTACGATTAACTTTTCTAATTGCAACTTTGTATTTTCTTTAATTAACTCTTATTTAATTGAACCACGCTGGGCCCATAACCTGTTAAATCAATACACGGGCGAGGTCAATTAAGCAAGTATATGTAAATGTTTTATTTGCAATATTAAACGAACGAAGAAGTAGTAGAAAACATATTCTATGTACAGGTTTTTATATATGAAAAAAAAAAATGACAGTTAGGAATGTCAGACAACAAAGTTAAATAGCTGAATACAATAGCCAATTAAAATATGCCACGTATTAATGAACTTAACGAAAGTTGATTTTGCAATTTAGTGTTGCCATTAAACAATGTTGCTTTCAACAGGGCCGGTAAAGGGTGAACACACCAAAACTGCGACACTTAGAAATTACTACCAGAAACAAACTAGAAGGCTTTGAAATTATTTTTTTTATATTATATAACTTGGAAGTTTAGATGTTATTAAAATGTTAAAATATTAGTTATTATTTGCTCCATATGCAAGTGATCGGTATTTTCATCGCCCACGCGACATAATGTTCTGCACGACTACATCATCGACTTTACGCGATGCGCACAACTACTTTGTTTTGCACTCTTCAGTATTTTTCACTGTTTCAACTGTTTTCTGCAAGATTTCTTTGACAATTGGCCAATAATCCCCAATAGGACGTGGCTCTGGGCTATTGGGTGGATTGCAGTCGTGAGGTGCAAAATTGATGTTATTTGCATTATACCACGGCAATGTGTCCTTGGCATAGTGGCAGGTTGCCATGTCCGCCTAGAACAGTGGCCTACTCCTTATCTGTTGATAAACGACAGAAGACGCCTTTTGACTCATCCCGATAAACTTTATCATTCATTGTCCCGGATGGGAAAAAGGGCTCCTCTTACGGCCACAGGATTAAATAGCTTGCCAAACCATGTGGTTTTTTGGAAATTTGGACTTCACACTGAGGACCTTCCGAGCACTGTTTTTATCACTTTGACCATGCTAACCCCCGCTCCCTGATTTTCTCGTAACTGCCAGGCCTTATTTGTACCGATTAAAACCCTGCAAACTGTCGAATAGTGCAATCTTTAATTTTTGAGCAATTTTACGTGTACTTAAGGCCGGATCATTTATAAACTCGTGCAAAATGGTTTGTCTCGTTTCTAACTCGGTTGCCATTTTTAACTCAACTAGGAATCAAATTCAAATGAAATTTCTTCTACGTCCAACTAAGGCCATGTGGTCAGCTTATGGTATTTGAATTTCAAAATATCGAATTCGTTTTGGGTAGGTTATAAGCTTCCCAAAGTGTCGCAGTTTTGGTGTGTTCACCCTTTATGTTTAGGTCCGCGACCTAAATATATTGCACCACCCTAATCCGTGTTTTGTCACTTGATGTAAGAGCACACAAACACATATATAAGTTACGGCTATCTTTCCAGCCGCTAACAATAAGCCCCACTGTACGGTAACTTATTGGAGGGGAAACTTAACGAAAGTTACTGTGCGGTGGGCTACATCCCTTTTCGTTTGTTAGCACTTCTTCACTTGTTAGAAGACCATCTGAAAGGAGATATCGCAGTTGTCACACCTCGTTTGGTAAGCCAATTCTTGTGTATGAAAGTATTTAAACGCACAGATACCTACAAATAAAGCGACCTTTGATTTCACTGTACTAAAACCACTGTGTCTTTTATTTATTCTTATTTTTCGTTACATCAACTTTACGCTGGTGCGCTCCATCTTCGTGCGACGCCACCTGCGTAAATACTGCCGAAATCCGCAATAAAATTGCGTTTTGCTAATTTTAGTCCTGCAATTGTCACGCCCATTTCTAGGGGTTTGTCACCTTAAAGAAAAATTTTGCCATACAAGTATTATGGGCCTGTTCGAGGCACGTAATAAAAGCGGCATTACTGCCGTACTGATGAAAAATGGCAACATTGTTGCAACTGCCCAACTGATAATACATTGCTAGAAATTCACACAGAACGGGATATTTTAATAATTCGCACAACACTGCGGTTGTGATTGCAACTCGAACAAGACCTATATCTGGATATTCTATCGGAATCCGAAATAAAATTTTACTTTTTGCAAAAACCCGATGTTTAACACCTTACCAAATATATCTTAACTTAAATTTTCAAAAAAAATTATAAAAGATTGGTGATTCTCACAAAATAAACCATCTCGACACGAGTCAGCTTATTTCATGTATAGAACCCATAAAAAAAATTTTAAGCCAATGTGAAGCCAAAGTGTGACACCGAATTTGGTGTCCGATATGAAAAAGAATGTCTCATATACTCATCATTTGAACACATAAAAGTCTGTTTTACGAAAGCCAAGTCATGTTTTTACATTTTATTTACTGACTTTACACTTTTTTAACGGTTTCCATCCTATTACATTAAAATAATGCTATATTTTAGCTGCTATTAATTTCGCACAGAAAAAGTTATCATTTGACCTAATGTGCCCTGTAAGGAAGGCTATTGGAAAGGATTCCCACACTAGAAAACGCGTTTAAATGCCTATGAAAGTAAGACAAAATCCCCGATAAGTTATTTTTCTACTTTCTAAATGTACCTAAAATAGTGGGCTTGTACCGCATGTACGTTCAAATTTAAAAAGCTGAAGAGTAGGTACAAGTTTACCAACTTTTACATCAGTATTTCACACCACATGCTCACTTTTTCATCTTCTTCTTTAGAACTTTTTCTTTTCTCTCTCATTCTCTCACTTTTGTGTCGTCATACCCGATTGCTCTGAGCTCGATTGGCGCCATGATTCAATAATAGATAATAGTTAATAATAAGATAATAATTAATAATAGATAATTATTGACAGCTGCGGTTTGACACTCCCTTACAAAAGGTAGCATTTACGAAGGACGGAGAAAGGGGAAGAATGAAATCTCTTGGTGCGAAAATGGTACTAGAAAAGTACGCACAGTAGGCAATTAGTAGTGAAATTCCTTTTGTAAATTCTAATGTATTTGCAGGAAATCTGGCATTTTAAACGAAATGTTGAGCGTAATATTGATATATCTACGTGAATTACGTAATTTATGTGCTATTTAGCTGTATAAAAATTGCAAAATGACTCAAAATTAAAATAAGACTACTATGAGATTGATGTAAACATCCAATTTAAAAACAGTTTATGTTTTCATCAGTTAATATGCTTCATATGCATATACAAATAAACATATTGCACAAAAGCTTGTACTTTATTTCACACCAAAGCTACACTGTTTCCATTTAAATTTGCAAAGAAGCAACACGGTGCCTCTGCTAAGGGAGCGGTGCGAGAGAGACAACTGTCAGTTTATCGAACCTTGTATTATTGAGTCATGGATTGGCGCTATCTTTTATTCTATCATTATTGCGGGCGCTCTGTAATAAAGAAACTTTAATTAACCAGTTTATTAATATATTTGCATGTAATATTTTAGACCAAGATATGCTTTACTCGACGAATGCACGAGCGCAGTTTCGATTGATGTAGAAAGTACAATATATGAAATTGCAAAGAATATGGATATAACGTTGTTGACTATAACGCATCGGCCAACTCTTTGGTAATTTATATTAACATACAAACACATCTATTCAAAATCTTGCTTAAATTTTAATTATTTTTTGTAGGAAATTCCATACGCATATTCTAGAGTTCGATGGCCAAGGTGGTTGGAGTTTTCGTAAAATGGGACCAAATGAGCAACAAAAATCCTAGTTCCTTTAGTTTGAAAAAAAAGAACATGTGAATATTCCGACAAACAAACATTTCAATTGTAATTATTTTTATCTGTTTGCGAAACACTATTGTGCTTTTTCTTTTTAATAAACTTTAGACACATCACAACGTTTCACATATTTATTCGATCGGTCTGAGTTTTGTAAGTTTTTTTTTTACACATATTTTAATTAACCGTAAAAATGTGAACATCAGAACATCAGAACAGAATTCAAAAGTGACACGTGTTAATGTAGTTACTACCGCAGGATTTATTAATTTATCGCAAAGAAGAAACAGCAGAATAATAATAATATTTNCATTACTGCCGTACTGATGAAAAATGGCAACATTGTTGCAACTGCCCAACTGATAATACATTGCTAGAAATTCACACAGAACGGGATATTTTAATAATTCGCACAACACTGCGGTTGTGATTGCAACTCGAACAAGACCTATATCTGGATATTCTATCGGAATCCGAAATAAAATTTTACTTTTTGCAAAAACCCGATGTTTAACACCTTACCAAATATATCTTAACTTAAATTTAAAAAAAAAATTATAAAAGATTGGTGATTCTCACAAAATAAACCATCTCGACACGAGTCAGCTTATTTCATGTATAGAACCCATAAAAAAAATTTTAAGCCAATGTGAAGCCAAAGTGTGACACCGAATTTGGTGTCCGATATGAAAAAGAATGTCTCATATACTCATCATTTGAACACATAAAAGTCTGTTTTACGAAAGCCAAGTCATGTTTTTACATTTTATTTACTGACTTTACACTTTTTTAACGGTTTCCATCCTATTACATTAAAATAATGCTATATTTTAGCTGCTATTAATTTCGCACAGAAAAAGTTATCATTTGACCTAATGTGCCCTGTAAGGAAGGCTATTGGAAAGGATTCCCACACTAGAAAACGCGTTTAAATGCCTATGAAAGTAAGACAAAATCCCCGATAAGTTATTTTTCTACTTTCTAAATGTACCTAAAATAGTGGGCTTGTACCGCATGTACGTTCAAATTTAAAAAGCTGAAGAG